ACTGGAGTATTGGGGGTACCAGGGAGGGGTATTGAGGTGCTGGAGTGTGCATTGGGGTGCGGGGATGTATATCAAACGCCGGGAGTGGGCACTGGGTGCCAGGGTGGGTTTTGGGGTGCCAGGTTCTTTATTGGGGTGCCAGGTTGTGTATTGGGATGTTGGGGTGTCTATTGGGGTACTGGGGTGTATGTGGTGGTGCCAGGATGAGAATTGGGGTGCCAGGGTGGATTTTGGGGTGCTGGGTGGATATTGAGGTGCAGCAGTTCCCCATCAGGGTGGCCAGACTTGGGGGGGGCAGGGCATGGCTGTCAGAACAGACCAGCTTACAAAAAGGGGGGTGCTGGGGGTATCCAGAAAGCAATGCCAGTGAACCCCCCCATTCCTGCAGCCAACCCTCCCAGCTGCCTCATTCTCAACCCTTCTAATCAATCAATCAGAATGAAGCTGGAGGGGACCTCAGAGGTCTTCTAGCGTAACCCCCTGCTCAAGCAGGAGACCCTATCCCATCCCAGACAGGTGGCTGTCCAATCTCTTCTTCAAAACCACCCACAAGCCTCTGGTGGCAAGCTGTTCCACAGGTTAATAGTTCTAGCAGTCAGCGCGAGTTTGTTAAGAACAGATCGTGCCAAACCAATCTCATTTCATTCTTCAACACAGTGACCAAATTAGTAGACCAGCAAAATACTGTGGACATAATATATTTAGATTTCAGCAAGGCATTCGACAAAGTAGACCACAACCTACTTCTTAGTAAGCTAGAAAAAAGTGGGACAGATAGCACCACCACTAGATGGACTCGCAACCGGCTGGCAAACCGTACTCAATGGGTCTAAGTCTGCATGGAGGGGAGTAAGCAGTGGGGTGCCACAAGGTTCCCTCTTAGGCCCAGGACTCTTCAATATCTTCATTAATGACTTAGAGGAGGGAATAGAAGGGGAACTGACCAAATTTGCAGGAGATACTAAGCTGGCAGGAATAGCCAACACCCAAGAAGATCGGCTTAAGATCCAGAGGGATCTTGACAGACTAGAACCCTGGGCCGTATCTAACAAAATTCAACATGGAGAAAAGGAAAGTCCTACACTTAGTCAAGAAAAACCCAAAGGACACATATAGACATATAGGAGAAACCAGGCTCAATAGCAGGAACTGGGAGAGGGATCTTGGAGTCTTAGTGGACAACCAGCTAAAGAGGAGCCAGCTGTGTGCAGCAGCAGCCAAAAAAAGCCAATGCAATCCTAAGCTGCATTAACAGAGGGATACAATCAAGATCAAGTGAGGTACTAATACCCCTCTATAAAGCCTTAGTAAGGCCACACCTAGAGTACTGCATCCAGTTTTGTTCACCACATTATAAGAAAGATGTTGAGAGACTAGAAAAAGTGCAGAGAAGAGCAACCAGGATGTTGAGGGGACTGGAGGATGAAACATATGAAGAACAGTTGCAGGAACTGGGCCTGGCTAGTCTAGAAAAGAGAAGGGGAGACATGATAGCATCTTCCAATAGTTGAGGGGCTGCCCCAGAGAGGAGGAAGGGGGTCAAGCTATTTTCTAAAGCTCCTGTAGGCCAGACAAGGAATAATGGATGGAAACTGATCAAGGAGAGATTCAACCTGGAAATAAGGAGAAACTTTCTGACAGGGAGAACCATCAACCCATGGAACAGAAGTTGCCCTCAGAAGTTGTGGGAGCTTCATCACTAGAGACCTTCAAGAAGAGACTGGACTGCCCTCTGTCAGAAATAGTGTAGGGTCTCCTGCTTGGGAGGGGGGTTGGACTAGATGACCTCCAAGGTCCCTTCCAACTCTGATTATCTGTTATCTGTTCTCATGGTCAGGAAGTTTCTCTTTAATTCCAGGTTGCTTCTCTCCTTGGTTAATTTCCACCCATTGCTTCTTCTCTTGCCCTCTGGTGTTTTGGAGACCCCCCCTCCCCCTTCTTTGGGGCAGCCCCTCCAATACTGGAATCCTGCTATCATGTCCCCCCTGCAGAAGTCCTTTTCTCCAGACTGGCCAAACCCAAACCCAGCAACCATTCTTCATATGTTTTAGTCTCCAGGTGTTTAATCATCTTAATTGTTCTTATTGTGACTTACTACATTTCTTTTCTTTTTTTAAACTACCCCATAATCCCTTGCAGGGTGGAGTCTGGGCAACTGAGTGGAGCTAGCAGAGTGTTTACTGGCCAGATGCCTTTCCTGTCACCAGTGCGGAGTTTTGTTCGGCAGACATAATTCTCATCATGCCCAGAGAGAGAGAAAGAAATATCTGCCTCTACCTAGGATTGAACTCACAGCCTCCTGACTGTGGGGCGAGAGCTCCACCTCTAGGCCACCGCACCGCTCATTTCCATTCCACAATGGACCCCCAAATTTGAATGGAGCTGAGGGTTTTACTGGCCGGATGCCTTTCCAATGTCACCAGTGCGGAGTTTTGTTCGGCAGATATTATTCTCATTGTGCCCGGAGAAAGAAATATCTGCCTCTCCCTAGGATCGAACTCGCAGCCTCCTGATTGTGGGGCGAGGGCTCCCCCCTCTCGGCCACCATACCACGCATTACATTTCTACACCCCTCCCCAAATCCAGCTGCAGCTGAGCCCCTCTGACCTTCCCGTTTCTGCCTCTCCTCCCTGCAGCTGCCTTGCAAGCCACCCGGGCGCTGATGGTCCTCTCCATCGTCCTGGGCGTGATCGCCATTGGCATCGCCACCATGGGCATGAAATGTACCCACTGCGGAGATGACAACAAGGCCACCAAGGCCCGCATCGCCATGACGGGCGGCATCATATTCCTAGTGGCGGGTGAGTGTCCTCCTTTCTGTCCCTTCTTCCCAACCTGGTCAGGGAGCCCCGCCTGTTGGCGCGAGATCACCGTGTTCCCCTTGGGCAGGTCGCCCCGAAAGGGGCTCCCATGAAGAAGACAAGCCACCTTTTGCTTCCGTCATTGAGGGAAGCAGCCCGTCCTTGCCTTGGCTTTATTTAGCATTGCCTGAGATCCTCTAGCTCAGGGGTCGCCCACCTTTTGGACCTCGGGGACCACCAACTCTGTTGAGGTAATTCCCCGTTAGGAGAATGAGCGCATACAGGGAGACGTATTTGAGAGAAGTGTCTGAATAATACACACACAGCACACAGATACGCTGTACAGTAAGTGTAGGTTTTTACTTCCAGAAAGGTTTAAGTAAAGTTCAAAATAGGCAGTCCAAAGTCATTCACAGGTTAATTCAGTCAGTTTTCAGTCCAAGGATAATCCAATAACAAAGTCCAGTGTCAAAAACAGTTCAGTAACAGACTTACATCAAATCCAGGAATAGCAGTCAATTAGGAGAAATGGAGGAACGGCAACTCTCTCCAACAGAAGGAAATAGAGACTCACTGAGACACACTCTCTTCTGAGACTAAGACTAAACAACCCAGGTTTCTGGCTCCATCTTATGGCTGCTTGAGAAACCACACCCAATTACACTTTTATGATTCTCTTAAAGAGACAATATTAAAATGTCTATCCTGGTTTTATATCTTGTCCAACCCAGATAGCTGTTAGGTGACTTACATTCCTAACAAACTCCTAATTTTAAATCCTGTGGACAAGAGACCCTGGGAAAATCCCCCCAAAAGTCTGCGGGAAAATTCCCCACCCTGTTTTCCTACCAATCGATCGTTCTTTATTTGGGATCTCCAGCTCTGTTCTCAGGGCGGGGAGAGAGAGAAAGAGAGGAGAAACTTTTGGCTGCATGCAAGGAAAGCAGCAGAAGCTGCAGAAGTCTTTCTTTCTCTCCCCCAAACTCTACCAGAAATGAGTCTTGGTGAGACTTGTCGTGCCGGCGCAGCCTCTCGGAGCAGGAGGCCTTGCAGGGTCCCACAGACTCATTTCTGGCAGAGTTTGGGGGAGAGAAAGAAAGACTTCGGCTGCTTTCCTTGCGTGCAGCCAAAAGCAGAAGAAGAAAGAAGCAGAAAGAAGCAGCCCGGTGGCCAGGCCAGGCGCGTGGAGGGAATGGGACAAGTTCCCCCTCCCCCCTTTCCCCCCTCCCCTCACTATCTCGTGTTGTTCGCAATGCAAGTGACGCAAGCCTTGTGTTCCCGCAGGCTATGTGGGCGGTGCAGCCTGGATTAATTGCTTTGGGAGGGGGGACATTTCTCTGCGGACCACTAAAATTTTCTCGTGGGCCACCAGTGGGCCATAGCCCACCGGTTGGTGGCCACTGCTCTAGCTGCACATTGCAAGACCACGGTTGATCGCCTATTGGCTGCATTCCCACAACCGGTTCCTTCTGTTAACCCGGGGGTCAGCAACCTTAAACTCTCAAAAAAGACATTTGGATCCGTTTTCCCCCAGAAATGAAAACACCGGGATCTACAAAAACCTACCGGAGGTTGAACAGCTCAATAAATTGTGTGCAGGTGGGTGTCGCACAATGACGGTTGTGACATATTTTGAGCGACAGGGAGCCGCAACAGAGCTTCCAGAGCCACATGTGGCTCTAAGCCCTATTAGGTTGCCAACTCCTGTGTTAACCCATTTTCTGAATTTGCGCTGATGTGTTTCCTATTTTTAAATGCTGGTTTTATGCCCAGCCTGATAAGAGTGACAAGGAATAAACACAACCACAATTCATTTGGATGTAGTTTTTAAACCTGTCAAATCTAGCTCGACTTACGGCCGTTCATTTTAGTGACAGTTCAAACTTACGTCGGCACTGTTTTTCCACTCTTATGGGATCACATCAAGATATGGACGCTTGGTGAGCGACTCCTATTTACAACGGTCGTGGTGTCGTGATCCCCCGTTTTGCGACCTTCCAGCGAGCCAAGTCAATGGTGAAACCGGAGTTGCTGAACAACCGTGTTAATTGTCAAGGCTCCAACATGCACCCCCATTCAAATCACAAATCTCTAGCCGCATCTCTCGGAGTAAAAAAAAAATGATTTAGTAGGAGTTGACATGTCGGTGTTTCCTGGTTGCAGCCGACACTAAAACACATCATTTCACCCTTGACCCTGGTCTTCCTCCCACCCCCTGGATGTATATTCTCCAATGGGACACATCCATAGCCCAAGAATCATCAATCATGCTCTCCAGTAATAATCTTGCACGCCAACATCTTCGGCTGCTTAGCAATTATCTGCAGCATTTAAAGAATGCACTGTTTTCCCCGCCCCACCAATCCCTTTTTGCTGGCAACTAAAAAGACCGAAGGAGTATTTTTTTTTTAGATGACATTAATGTCTTAACGACTGCCAGGATTCACTGAATGACCATGGGCCAAAAAAGATCACAAAAGGGGACAAAACTTGGCGAAAAACTCGGTCCGACTTAGCAACAGAAAATCCAGGGCTTAATTTGGTCACAAGTCAAGGACTTCCTGTACAGGTGGCAAACATATTTTGGCTTTTTTTTTTTTTTGCAAGCCCAAAGTAGACCTTGCAAACCACCCCAAATATCAAATGTATTCGCTAGATAGGTTTATCTCACCTCTGTGGAGGAAGAAAAAAAGACCCATCAAACCAAGATCAAACCATTTTGTGACTTTCCTTTTATTCTCCACTCGCTTATAGGTTTGTGTTCTCTGGTCGCTTGTTCCTGGAGTGCACACCAGATCATACAAGATTTTTACAACCCCCTGTCCCCCTTGAATAAAAGGTAGGTTGTCCAGAGGAACGGGGTGGCGGTGGTAGACATCCCGCTGCCCATTCCAGAGCAAAGGGGCGGCTGCGTCCTGACTTTGCCTCACCCCTCAAAATGTGGCATTCACACATCCAGCAAATTCTTTCTCCTGTTTGGAGTGTGTCCCTTTTGAGATGGGGCCCCCCCCTACTTCTGCACCCCACTTCTAGCATTTCCTCGCTCCCCCCATTTCGCTGCTTCCGAGGAAGGAAAAGAATGTGGGAAAAACATCGGAGCAAGGTGATGTCCGGAGACCGCCCAGTAACTGTTCCGGGGGGAAAAGTCCTTTTTTTCATCAAGAATTCACGCGCCCAGCAAATTCTTTCTCTGTGCAGAGACAGGGAAGTAGGGAGGGGCCCAGGGGGTGGCAGGACCTCTCCGAACACACACACACACACACACTCATTTATTATCTTACACGGAGTCTCTTTCTCTGCCGCAGGTACGAATTTGGCCCTGCCATCTTCCTTGGCTGGGCAGGTGCCGCCTTGTCGCTGCTTGGCGGCGGGATGCTGTCTTGCTCGTGTCCGGGAGATTCCTCCGGATATAAGAACCGCCAGTATCCTGCGGGGAAGCCCATCTCCAAACCCCCCAGTAGCCGAGAATATGTCTAGATGCCCCAGGCCACTGCCAAGACCCGTGGGCCGCTGAGCCTGGAACAGCCTGGATTTTGCTGCCCATTTGGGTATTTTTAGACTTTTAAATTCCCCTCTCGTGGAGTCCTCCCCCCTTTTTAACCTGTTTTATTATTCCTTCGATCGAATGAGTTGATTATATTTTATTTTTGAAATGGGGATCCTATTTTAAGTAGAGATATTTTAATGTTTTCATTGGGGATCTGCCCTGAAGGGAGGAGTTAATTCCCTTGGTGCATTTTTTCTCGGGCTGCCCGAGGAAGGATTGGAGATGCAAGACTCCCGTTAAATCCATTGGACCCAGGGGATTATGGGGTTTGGAGTCCAGGGCATTCGGAGGCAATGAGATTGAGGAATAGCGCCATAGAAAGGTTTCCTGGGTGGGACCCCCTCACCCTTTTAATAAACTGATCCATCGGGAGAAGATAGCCTCTGGGTGGCCCTAAACGAAGGTCGGGTTGATCTAAAGAAAGCCCCCAACCATTGGGGGCAGTTCCCCCCTCCCCCAAAAAACCTTGGCATTTGGGATCTCTGCTACTTTTGACCCCCTAGAATTCATACACTGGCAGATGTTGACAAGACTGGCATCTTTGGGGGCAGGGAAATTTGACTCTCCCAACCATACCCAGGTCAGGGGTGGGATTCAAACATCCCAGCAACCAGTTCGCTGCCTGGTTGCTGGGTGGGTGTGGCCACAGTGGGCGTGGCCTACTGGTACTTCTGGTTTGGCCATTTTTTGCCTTCCCCACAGTCCGGAGGCTTCCCTCGGGCTTCCGGGAAGGCGAAAATGGCCTCCCTTGGCTTCTGGAGGCTCACCAGAAGCCAGAAACGGGACCGTTTCCAGACTTCTGAAAGGCCCGTTCCTCCCCGAGCGTCCGTGCACTTACCTGCATCAACAATGGGCCGTGTGAAGGCTGCTGGGAGCAGCGGGGCTGGGCGGGGCCAGCCGGTTGGTTCAAATACTGGTTTGGCGAATCAGATACAAATTTAACAACCGGTTCATCCAAACCAGTCCAAACCGGTCTAAATCCCACCCCCTTCTCCATGGGGCAGCCCAGCCGAAAACTCCTATAACTAACTCTTGGGAAGGCTGGTTGGAGACTTCAAACATTGCTTGGGTTGTGTGAATATGTACATTGATTCCCTGGGGAAACCTTGGGTTAAGCGAAGGGCCATTTTGATTTCGAGCCTATCCCTCAAAAATACGGATCGTTTTTACCCCCGCCCTTTAAATCTTCCCAACAAATATGTTCCTGGCTTTGATTGCAAAATCATATTTTGGAGAAGAAGAAAAAATTACCTTGAGTTACATTTGCTTGCTTGGATAGATTTTTTTTTTTTTTGTGAGGGGGGAAGGGAGCAGTTTGGAGGGGCGAATGCAAATTGGAATTAGGAAAGAAGGGATCCTCAAAGTAAAACCTAGCCTTATTTAAAACACTCATCCCTTCGGGTGCTGTGTGCGTTTTGTGTATTTTTTTTTTTAAACGATTTGTATGACTTGCAATTGATGTATTTGTTTTGTATATAATAAATAAGACTTGTTTTGGACAAAAAAAAAAAAAAAAACAACCCGCCTCGCTGTAGACTTGATCGTAATGAAATTGTTTTGAAAACTCCCTAAAAACCGGGACTTCCGGTTTGTTGGCTTCGCGAGTGGCAGGGATTCGCGACACTGCGCGATCCCTGCTGCGCTAGCCGTTTTTGGTGCTCCGATCCGGATGGGTTCGGAGCTAAGGCTACCCTGCAGGGGTAGCTGAAGATAGGGGGGATCCGGAGAGGGGTTTGGGGGTGTTGCAGACCCCCTCCCCGGCCGGCAGAACCCCCTTTTCCCAAGACGGTGCAGCGGCGGTCCGTAATGGCCGCCACAAAGAAGCCGGCAGCTGGGTAAGAATGCGCAGGAGGAAGAGGAGAAAGCCTTTGAAAAGAGAAAGTTTTTCTTGGTTCCCAGGACTCTAAGACACATTTAACACAATTCCTGGAAATTATGGCTTTTTGAATGATTCTTTCCACAAGAGAAAATAAGCGGCAATTTTGAGGTGCTAAAAGGAAAGTTTACTCTCCTTCCCTATGGAATCAATAAGTGGATATTGAGAAACCTGTCTTTTTCAGGTAAAAACTAGCTTTATGTGATAAGTGGGAAGGGAGAGGACAAAAAATATATTCATATGTTAAGATTTTGTTGGAGGAGATGCCTTAAGGATTTGAAGACTGAAATATAATTCCAATAAGGCTTTAAGATACAGATTTGGACTTTCTTTTTTTTTGATTGATACTACCCCAGGAAGAGAAAGTGAGAACTTTGTCTTGGCTTGGATTGATTGAGGACTTTGGGATTGTTCTATTTTTTTTTTTTTTTTGAAATATTTTGGTTGGTGCAAGAAGAAAGAGGGGGGAAAAAAAAGAAAAAAAAAGATTTATAATGGTTTTTTTGCTGAGGAACTGAGAAAAGAATATGAGCAAACAAAAACAGACGGCAAAGATGGTGTGAAAGAAGCCTTCCTTTTTTTAGAAATGGCGCTTGTTAACTATCAACAAACACTACAACAGATGGAGGCAGAAGAAGAAGAAGAAGAAGAAGAAGAAGAAGAAGAAAAAGAAAAAGAAAAAGAAAAAGAAGAAGAAGAAGAAGAAGAAGAAGAAGAAGAAGAAGAAGAAGAAGAAGAAGAAGAA